CATCTGCCCCCACCGGGATTCGAACCCGGGACCTCTCGAGTCGGTGACACCATGAAACTCGGCGTACAAACCACTCGGCCAAGGAGGTCGTCAAATTATTTTTTACAAGCCGGAAGTTTTGCGCCTGCTGAATTTGAATCTCAACTCATTTTCAATCAAAATCGCCGTAAACAGTGTTAAAATGACTAAATTAGAAACCCACCAGGACTCGCGCACCAAGGGTTCTCCCTCCGATTCCGTCGGCCTAGACACGTCTTAGACTACCCCGACGACGAAATCACCCGCGCCAACGCGCCTCCGATTCCTCCCACACAGGCCACAAACACCAACACTACACAGCTAGCAAACGTGCACACTAGCTTAGCATTAGGCAGACACAACACCCGTAGGATAAGAGTGCGAAGACCCGGTCTACACACGACTCGCTATACCAGGTACAGGTACGTACCTGGGCGTTTTTCCCCGCCCCCCCACTACAACGGCTAACTAGAGCCGTGGTCCGAGTCTCAGAGACGCGCTCTAGTTGAGCCGACCCCCTCAGGTTCGAATGGTCTAGTGGCTCCAGACGGAGAGAAGACTCCCCCCGTGGGGAGACGCCATCCGCCTGGAATATCTCTAGAGGCATTCGCCAATTCTCGGCTTGAGGTCCCCTTAGGATCTCACCGTCCCCAAACTCGATGACGCTGTAAAGGTCATCTGCGACCAACAGCATACACACTCAAAATAAACCGAGGGTTCCGTACAAACCTGTAGGTATATATTACTTATATACTTTATATATTTATTTTAAACTTAATTGACCAAAATACATACTAATGGTGCAAATGGTAGACTTAATGCTAAAAACATTCTCCCCAGTCAACCTTTGGGAAAAAATGAAACGAACAGCATTTACGAATCAAAATAGATACATATATAAATTCATACTGCAAAAAGAATATAAGTACATACAAAGGTCGCTAAAGCGACCAACTTCATGCTGTTAAAATTTTGTGTTATAGTGATGCGCGCGCATCTTAAAATTTCACTCTCATCATTTTTTCATAACGCGCCTAAAGAAGTATAACTTCAATAAATATTTCCAACACTTACACCAATTAGCCTAGCCCCAAAGTAAAGTGCTTACGTAAGGCTTGTGTTATGCGATACTAGGCTAGCTAGGGTAACGGATAGAATACATATACTGTACATATATAAGCATATTTTTATAGAAATACATATTAAACAACCATGACTAAAGTACAAATGCTCGTATTCATCACACAAACATCTGGGGCTTCTAAGCTCGCCCCGTGTCATCGGCTTTTTTACCATCTGCTACTCGATGATACGAGGCGAGTTTATAAGCTACTAGCGAACTCGCTGGCTTGTAGTTTGTAAACTCGCCCCGTGTCATCGAGGCTTTAGGCACGGTAATATTATCTATACAGTATTGTGACTCCGCCCTGTCCTTGAAAATAAATGCCTACAGCCGAGCGCTGCGTTGGCACGCGGTAGGGCCGCCCGCCTACAGTATTTTATGTAGTTTTGTTTTTAACGCGAGTGTAGGTAGATTACTCGTTTGTCTCTTTTTTCATCCTAACCACTTATTTATATATTATTCCAGATATTTTGCCCGATGGAAAAACCGAAATACCTAAATATTAGAAACAAATAACGTACTAGTAGATAGGTATATAAAAAATATTCTATAAAGGTAAGACACCTTTCCAATATTTCAGGTAATTTAAAAAATGATATCTCTGGGTGTGTTATTGAAGAGTTCAAGCAACCAAAAACAGCAATTGTGCTGTTGTACGATATTGATCGTCGTTTGTTCTTTTCCATACTAAATTATGTAGGTATCTACTTAATTCAATCAAATATTTACAATACAAAACGCACGTTTAAGCACGGCTAACTGCATAAAAAACAATTCACACCGTTCGGTCGTCGTTGCGGCGCGGCGCCGGCGCATTCGCGACTGTGGGTGCCCGCCGAGAGCACATCGAACTCGAGTGGCGTAGGTATGACTCGCTTTCCGACCGTTTGTATGAAGATAGAATACTGTATGATATTATTACCGTGCTTTAGGGACCGTCTAAGGAGGAAAGGTACGTGTTAATTAATTTTCGTCTTCTGTAATGTGGATCAAAGATGGGCAGTATAATTTGAGCGGTATAGCTCTTGATATTTGCGCTAAGTTTTCAAGGGAAGGCTATTTGTGTCCGAGTTTAGGTGGTTCTGATATTTATGTTGTTAGATCGGAATAATAGGTGCATTTGTATCACGTATCGTCAAAAAATTACTTTTAATCTTTTGTGGTCGTGACACAATTTTTTGACACAAATACCTATATAGCTTACGCATTATTCACCACGCGATAAACATAATCAACGTAATGCAAAAAAATAAGTTTTTTGTACGTATGCTGGTGGTCACGTAGCTCGATGGTGCAAATGGTTAACGCATTCGGCTGCGATCGTTGAAGTTAAGCAACTTTCGCAGTGGTTGGCCATTAGATGGGTGACCAACATTTATTATCTCGAGTTCCTCCGTGCTTCGGAAGGCGCGTTAAGCCGTTAGTACCGGCTGCATCTGCAGTCGTTAGCACCCACCAATCACATTGGGCTGTGGTATCTCCCTATTCCATCCACAAGGAAGGCCAGTGCCCCAACAGTGTGGACATTAATAGGCTGGTGACGACCACATCCACTCTTGACACAATTAAATTCAATTTATAGCACTCATATGGTTACATAGATGGTTACAAAATGCTTATAGTACCTAACATGAACCCTATCAGGGTATCGCAATATACAGTCTTAAAGATAAAAATTACAAAAGAATTTAATTAATAAACAATTATGTATATGAGGAACCTAATTTGTATTAAACCACTTTATATCTCAAATTATGCCTAAATGTCATCTGATTCCATTAGTTTAACAATATAACTTACTCAATTGATCTTATAACCAGTAGAAATATAATAGAAATGGAAATTTATTTATAAAATTAAATTAAACACAACCAAGAGGGGACTTTAGTCTTTAGATTGTGTTTGGGCTGATTGGTATTGTCTGTAGCTTTAATGAGAAGGACCTGCTCATTTAACCGAGCCCTTAATTGAATGATATGAGCAGGGAGGAGACCTCACAAATCCCCGTTGTAAGCTCCAGTGGTGAGGCAGGCAAACGCCTTTCCCAGGCACAAAACAATAGTCTATACGGACCACACATCTGAAGTGAAACTTCTTTTCTTAAATAACCTAACATTAGGCGGTGCATAAGGCATAGGGGAACGGAGCAGCGCACGCATCACTCATATATATGTATATGTTGACGTGTGTGACGCTCGTAGCGTTTCAGCCTACGCCGAGTTACCCTCCAACATTCATCCGCTTAGACCTATGCCAGACGGATGTATTCCAGCGTACCAACCAAGGTGACCTTGCTCGTTGCCATCCATCTAGACGAAGAATGTAATCCAAATTTTGATTTGACCTTCAACGTCCTTGGATTATGGGCGCGTGTTTACATCCGCGGATGGAGCGCGTGGATTACAACCAACCAAAGACAGTTGCGCTGTTAGGCAGTCAGCGGGTGCACTTCGAGTTTTTTTCATTATTAATTTGCATTTTCTGAGAACATTTATCATAGTAGTGTATATTTTTTTTATACCATCTGAAAGTACAGATTTCAACAAACAAAAAACACCCCAACTTTTTTAAAAAAGCATATATTTTGACGTGATAATTGTCGATTGAAAATTAGGGTGATTTTTGGATATTAAGTCAAAATAAGGTGAAAATATGAATATTTTAAATCAAAAAAATTACTGTATGTTTGGGACATACAAAGGTAAGTTTTTACCAAATTTCGTGAAAAAATAATTTTTTTTGCAAAAAATAAAAATCAAAAACCAAAAACTCGGTTATTCGCATTTTTCACATAAATTTTGAGGTTATGTGAAAAAAGTGTCGATACAAAAGTTGTAGATCTTTTTATTACATACAACTTTGCCATTTAACTTTTTTTCATAGGACTTGCAGTTTTACCGGAAATCGAGATTAACCATTTTTTACCCTTAAAAACTCACCCCCTCCCCCTTCCCGACCTCAGATCGCCCGTAATTTATTTTTCCTTTCATTTTTGTTATATTCTCTACCTTTTCTAATGGGTTTCATCCTTCAATATTTTTTTTTCACTTTTCACCATTTTTAAAATTATCGACCCTGGTCTATAATGTGGCATTAAAAATACATACAGCTCTAAATTTTCACCCTTCTTTTCTACCACCCATATTTTTATGGCGATACGAAGTTCACTGGGTCAGCTAGTATTACTATAAAAAACTTTATGTTCTTTTTTGATGTATATTTATTAGGGTAAATACGATCTAATATGGCCTAATCTTTCGTTTGCAATTCCGACTCACACTTGCCTGATTTTGTAAGTTATATTCCCATATTTGAAATATAAAACCAAAGCGTTTCATTACAAAGACACTTCCAAAGCTCATTTATGACATTTCAAAACAAAAAAAAAAACTAGCCTTTTATACTTAAAATTTCATTGTAATACTTGATGTTTTGGACTTTTTGTAATATTTGTTATCTATCTTCCGTGAATTTTGAGTTTTTAGAGAAACTTAAAAATCCTTTAAATAAAAATGGTGAGAAAAAAACAACTACATTACACACTCCTATAAAAATATAGATATAAATACCGTTTAAAAAATATCTGATACAGAATTATTATCCGTTTAAAGTATCAAGAATATAAAAGTTGTTTTATTTAATGATAGTCAAAACGTGGGAAAACTCTTTAAAAAAAAAATAGAAAAATAATATATAAAAAAAAATTGCTGATATTTAATCTAAATCCTTGTCTGAATTCTTTAGTAAATTTTCTTAGGTAACTAAAAATTCACGAAAAGAAAAGCGTTTTTTTGTTGTTGTTAAACATTCACTTAAGTCACTTCCTTAAAAAATAAATACTGAATCAAGAAACACATACCTAACATATTGCGTATCCTAACGCAGTTTTTTGTTTTGTAAAAAAAATATCACTGGCACTTTACAACTTTTATGATTAAGTGTTTAGTTTTCATTGGCATCACACAAATTTATACAATAAACCTTTTACAGATAAAGGAGATATCATAAGGTATTGAAGCCAAACGTAAGCGGTAGCGGGAGCGATACACTTTTTGATGAGCAATACGCGCGCCATTTGTTTACTCTGTGAAAAATTCGGTATGCAAGGAAGAAAAACAAACGCCATGCAACTAATTAATGCAACTTTCTAAGATAAAGCAAAATTTTTTATACTGGTTCCTTCTTTTGTTCACAGTGTATATTAGGACAATATTATGATACTTTACAAAGTCGTACTTACAATATTAGAATTATGAGCAACTTTTCGTGTCATGATAACCTGTTTTTTTTCATTAAAAACTCTTTACATACCGAACTTAACACGTTTTTTTTTTATTAAAATTGTCTCTAACCGAAACTCTTTAAAGTCACATTTTTACTTTTAAAACGATGACATAGTTCTTGTTTTATGGTACAAAACCAGCGTATATATAAGTTGTTCATAATTATTTCTCTTCACACATCTACAAATAAAATTAAGCTTGAACCGCAAGTGGGCAGACGTCAGACACTTAATGTAATTTTTAGCAAACTAAATGAAATACTTATTAGAGAGATTAAAAAATAATTAATGACCATTAATGACTCGTCTGAGAAAAGCATGATCCAGTCCTTATTGTAGACTACAGAACCATCTTTGATGTTTTTATTGTTTTAGGATTTTATATAACACAGAAACTTAAATGAAAACGGGTCGGATAAATGTCCTCATTATTTTAAATCGATTTCGAAAAAGAAGAGATATCAATCCAGATGTTTTTTTTTTATGTTTATTATACTATTATTAGTGTTTCTTGTCTTGTGATATCTGAATTGCCCCTAACTGCTTGGGTTGGCACTGAATACAAAATTTAGTAATTTATAAGATGAAATAAAATAGTATTAAAGACTTTTGTTTTCTCATTGAACTCAGCATGTGGCAAATCATTCTCTAGAGCTCGTTGATTACGGCATGAATATATTTTATTTTATTTTATTTTTAATTATAAAGAAATGAGGGGTCATAATGTTTATTTTTTACGCGTGTAACTGCTTGATGTTTAAATCTAAAGAAATATATATATATAATAATAGCATTTATTGTTATAATGTTAATAAACATCATTCATAACTATAATTACTATTTCTTCTTTCAAATATTTAATACTTGTAAAAGTATTCATATGACATTGTGGGTTATCTATGTTACCGGCCAAATCCGATTTCAGGACAAACTAGTTTTGCCTAGGCTCAAGTAGTTCTTCCTATACGCGATAGGATTAACTAGTATAGCCTAGTTCAAACTAATTTGTCCTAAGCCCGATAGGATGAACCAGTTTAGCCTAGGCCAAACTAGTCGATCCTGATATAAATACGCATACTCTAAGATACACCAGTATGGCCTAGTCTAAACATTAGGGGGCGTCCATAAATTACGTGAGGTGTTTTTTTGAATTTTCTGTCCCTCCCTCCCCCCCTGATGAGATGTCGTGAGATTTATTCAACCAACTCCCCCATTCCCCAATCTCACGTGAGATTTTTCAAAATGTGGGTTTCTTACGTAAATGCGTTGGATTGTTATTGTATAAAGAAAAAAAAATAGTGAATGATCTTAATCGTATTACGATTACGCTTAAGATTAAATCTTAAGCATGTACAATCTGGATTAAATGGACAATATATTTGTTTTTTTTGGTTCAATCAGAAAAAAAATGCGTGATATCTGACTCGACCCCCCTCTCTCCAACGTAAGATTAGATGAGATTTGACTCGACCCCCTCCCCCCCTTAAACATCTCACGTAATTTATGGACTCCCCCTTATAGTATATATAGTATATCTAGAAAGTCAAAATAAATTGATAAACTGAATCTTTTATTAAAACGATAATGGTTCATCGTTAAAAGTTATGCATAATTGGTAATACAAACAATCATACTATAGCAAATAATATGTGTTTTTTTTAATAAAACAATAATCATATCTCAATTATTAAATTTGTTATTTATTTTTACATGGTGTGCTTTGGTGGCACTTAGAATTGCAGAGTGTTATTGCCTTCTTGAATTGCAGAGTATCATTGCCATCATTGGCATCTGTTTGTGGGACGTTTTTTGTTGCAGCTGCATCTCACAACACAAATGGCCTATTACTTATGTGTGCGAGTGTACCCATGCACAAACACACTCCCTCCACTTTCTTCCAGCGTTCTTTTTACATGACGCGACCTGTACAAGGCCTGACATGTTTGTTCAATTACTTTCGACTCTGCTAAATTAGTTTGGACTAGGCTATACTAGTTAATCCTATCGCGTATAGGAAGAACTAGTTTAGCCTAGGCAAAACTAGTTTGTCCTGAAATCGGGTTTAGACGGTAACATCTATAACGCGAAGAAATGGTGCTGCCTTGCAGCTTAAGAATGGCTAGAAGAATTTCGACGCGGCCTTCAGGGCCGCGGTAGCATAATTGGTTAGTGCATTCGCCCGGATAGCGAAAGATGCGGGTTCGAGTCCCGTCTGCTGCCTGGCCCGCGTAGATTTTTTTTCTAGTTATATTTTCTTTACATTTAAATGAGGGGTCGTCAAAGTTGTCATTTCAGATCATTCTTGTTTACCTCAAAATAGAAACTAGGTTAGAATGTTAAAATTTGGTAAATGTGCTTGCTGTATTTAAAGAAGAAACACTGAAAACGCCAATTCTAAAGACACTTTATAAGTTGTGACGAAAACAAAACAAAAGATTTTACGAAACCCTAATAGTACGACGTCAGAATCGCGCTTCGCCACTTTTTTTGTAATTCATCTATTGTAATGTACCGAGGTGCAAATAGATATATTTCTGTTGATATACCTGAATCTCAACTCATAGTAATATCCATCGTGCTACTGACAAAATTAAATTAATTACCTAGTTAATAATATTATAATAAATAATTTGGTGGTTAGATGCGTTGTCTGTTTACCAATGAATATAATGTATTTTTTAATTATTTGCTATATTGCTAATTTAAACTTTATTATTAAGACTATTTGGTGTAACGATTGCTATTGTATTAGTTAATCAATAAAGTCAAGGTTCGAGTCCTAATAGTTTAAGTGAGAGATTTAGTCGATTTTATTTGGAAAAGTATACCACAATAATATAGCAGTATACCGCTGGGGAAGTAATAATTCCTTATATTTTTGAAGTGAAAACTTCTTCAGCGGCGTTGTACACTTTTTTTGTAATGGGTAAAAAATGTTAAACTCGTGTCAGGACACGTGGCCTGATCGAAAATTCGTAAGATGAAAACAATAAAATTGGAAAGGTTGTTGACTTTCAATATATTGGACGAAACATAGTTATTTTTTATTTTATCGTATTATAATAATAAGTCTTTAATTAGAACGTGCAGGGGGCAGCTTTATTGCGAAGAACTTTATTGCGAAGAATTTACAATAGATGTAGATAGCACCTAGCGACATCTATTGTAAAAAAAATTCAATGTGATTCATGTAAGATTTTGATTTATCTGAAACAATAACTTTTTAATGTAATATAAATTGTCATGTTTGTGTACGACAGCGCAATAAATAAATATTGTATTCTACCACATAAATGATAGTACATTTATACTGATAATTAAAGCAATTCCTGCATAATTATTCCCTAACCATTCCAAAATATCAAAAATGCACAACGTTAATATTCAAGTTTTCACTTCTGTATAAAACCATAGTGAGAGAAAACTAGGTACTATACACAGACATAGCTATGTCTGTGGTACTATAAGTGGATGGGAAACATCTATCAAAACAACATCTGTCCAAGAGCTAAATTTCCCTGCAAAATGGTGTATTCAATCCTAATCTAGCAATTTCGTTGTGTTTGAAAACTCTTAGACTATTTTTTTCGCCTGACACCCATCCGCCATGCTGCCCGAAATAGAGAAGTTCCTTTTTCAATAAAGTAAACAAATAATTTGTTCTGTATGTTTTCAAGATTTACATAGAAATATTTAAATTACAATTACACCAGAATACATAAAATCAGAATTAACTACTAAAATAATTTACAAAATAACAAAATATTTCATCCCCAGCGCCGCCGTCAGAAATGGTGCCCAATAGGCTGGCAGCATTTACATGCTGGATATTGCTATGCTAATCCGATGACCAAGGAAGTTGCCAGCCTTTTCAATATTTATATCATAAATTCAGATCTATGAATTGAATTGAATCTTTATTGTAAGTATTGAAAATTTAATGATTTGAATCTTTATATTATACATTCAGATTTTTTCGTCTCTCCATCCTATAGTTGTCTGGATGAAATGGCTACTACATAGCCATAAGACCGTCAATTGTCCACCTTTTTAATTGTTGTCCATACTTTGTACTTTATAATGTGGTGCGTTCAATAAAGAATTATCTAGAGTCTGTGCGGAAAGAGAATGGGATTTAGATTGGAGGGCGCTGCAGTGCTTTTCTACCGTATTTGTAAGGTTTTATCCCTTTTAGACATGATTAAATACAAAAAACCGCAAGAAATCACAACAACAAACAAATCCGTATCAATAAAAAACTTTGACGTTTTACAGATTGCTGGGTTTGATTGCCAAATAGAAATCTTAATGTTAGTTCCGTGTTTCGCCACGCCCATTCTCTTTCCGCACATACACTATCTATCTTTCTATCGCGCGTGTAGATTCCGCAACAGCTTATGTACAGTTCGTAGCTTTACAATGCAAACTTATCAGTTACAATCGACTGAAATAAAAATTAGTACACTACGCAGGAGTGCAATTTTATTATGAACAATGAACCATTTAAGCACTTTACTCATACACGACAATTAACTAATATTAAATTAATATCTTTTAGGGATGACTCAAGTTCATGACTTGAATAGGTACTGGGAATAAAAATAAATTATCGACCTGAATAAGTAATTTATATTTCTAGTATTCAAAGAAATTAGGCTCAGTGAAAGTAGATTTTATTTTCTAGGCCGTAGAGTAACCT